AGAGTCTAAATAAATTTTGATTTTTACACTTTTAATCTTATCAATTAGTTGGGTCGCCTGAGATCTGGATGTAATGATTGTAAATAGTTGTCATCAACTGTTTACGATGGGTGGTTAATGCTTGATGGCGACGAAGATCAGTGGTCAACGTTGATCGGCGGCTACGAAGGCCGTTAGTAACTCGTTATGGCTTCTCTCTAGAATAGACTCTCGAAGTTTACTTCTCTTCATCTCTCCCTCGTCTCACGTGAATAGCTTTTTTAAAAGGTGGCATTTTGTTTATACCGATCAATATTGATCATATAAAATTTTTTAAGTAAACTTAAAATTTGGACGATCATGAATTTATATTTGAAATATTTGCTCAAAATCAGGCTTTTGAGATTTATGGCATCGATACAATTTTATTAATCACACCTCAAGAATTAATTTATTTATATTAAAAATTATAGTAATTTATTCTCATTGGTTATTTATTATAGGTGGGCAAATAGCATGTTTTAGTACCAGACTAAACCGGACAAATACTATGATACGAGATAATAGATAAAGCTATTAGATTTTTATTTTCATATATATATATATATATATATATATTTATTTATTTATTTATAATTGCAGCATGATTTCTTGTTTGTAATTGGTTATTTATTTAATTTCAATCAGTAAAATTGATGCGTGCTAGAAAATTTGCGGCGATAAAGTAATTGTTTATTGTCTTAGCATTGCATGAGAATTTAACATACGCTCAGGTGAGAAAATGACCAGTAATGACACCAGAAATTTTTACGTGGAAAAACTCGTAAATACAAAAAATCACGGTATCTGACTTAATTGTAAAAAAATCATTATAGATTGATGATTACAGAAACTCATTGTCCCACAGATGAGAGTGAATTACTAGATTTTCCAAATTACAACGTTAAGTTACGACATCTGGTTGATACTGGTTGACGACAATTGGTGGTGATTAATGGTGGTTTGTGGTTGTCGATGACGGTCGACAGTGGCCGACAATTATTTACGGGTGTAGACGACGGTCGACGATAGTGGACCGCTGCCAGCGGCGAGAGGTGGACGGTTGTCTTCGTCGATCGACAATAATATGGATGGTGTTGGACTTCAGCTTATTCTCAAAGTCTTAATGTCTCTCTCAAGGCTCAAGCTCCTCCTAATGTGAGAGGTGAAGCTCTATTTTTAGTATTCTGGGGGCAATTAATACAAGAATATTAATTATTTCGATCGAACAGTCAGAATAATTTTCTTTGATCTGACGATGTTTGATAGTGTCTTAACAGTGTCAAAATTGAGCAATCTTGGCTCACTGGATTCGACTATGAACTTGCCAGATTCAATATCCTTTTGACATTTCAAATGCGTTCAGATTCAATATCCTTATGACTTGATTTGGGTCTGATTTGACTAGTTTTTTTATCATTAGGTCTATCTCATCGAATAGTCAGTTCGACCATAAGTTTTGCTAAATCAGAGTTCTGAATAACTCTTAATTGAACTCTAAATATTTATTGTTCAAAAAATTACATTATGATTCATATGAAAGCCTCAAAATTTGTGCTAATGATGAAAATTTGGTGGGGCATATAAAAAATATTATCATAATGATAATTATAAAGACAATATTTAATTCTAAACATTTCTTTTATCTAATATAATTTTGATAATTGCATTGAACCCAAAAATATCACAATAATTAAAGAAACATTTTTAGATTCAATTCAAAACGTGCAAAAAGTGAATTTCATTATTACAAAACCATTATTACATTTAGCTGCACAGTTAATATAATAATTGCAAAGAATATACACCACAAGGCCTCGTCAGTTATCTCTGCGCCTTTTTGACTTCAGCAACTTAATTATTTTTGTAATTTATAAATCCCCCAATAAACAACGCATTAAAATTTTCTTTTTTTATTTATTTCAAAAAAGGAAATATAAATTCAATTGTTATTCATAAAAAAATATAAAAAAGAGCCATGACGTGAACTATTTGCATACTTAGAGCCCGTTTGGGACAGTTTATTGCGTGCGGTAACGTTTTGAAAACGCATCAGACCTGTTTGAATAAACTGTATTTTGGCAGCTTATGCATTTTCAAAATACTGATAACAGTGTTTTCTCACCGCACATATCTAGGTGTGATGATAATTTTCTGGCTGCGAGCTTACTTTTCAAAAAAAAATTAAAAATTTGTAATAATCACCGCACCTAGCTTATCAGCAGATTATTCAATAAACTGCAGCTGCCCCAAAGAGACCCTTATTAGCAAACATAGGACACGGTATCTATTTTATATAGTAATCACATAAATTAAATAAATGTGTAATAAATAAATAATTTTTTTTAACTTTATGAATATAAACAAATAATGATATTATTTAAGAATGAAAATACATTAAAATAAAATTCATATTTTTTATAAATAAGAATAATAGACAAATAACAAGTAAAAATAAAAAAAAAATAAAGTTATTAAAGAAATTTGATCATCAATAATTTTCTTAAAATATTGTATAAAAAATAAACGTAAATTATCAAAACCTATTATTTTATTATAAATTTTGATACTATTTATTAAACTTTAGGGAAATTTACATACATAGCACACAACTCTTATGTATTTATATCATGCCCCTATACACTCATATTTACATACATAATATTTTGGCATTTTAAACATATATTATGCATAGATAGGCATCATTTACATACATATGAACTCATTTTTATGCATAGATAGGCAAGGCATGGTTGATATGTAAATACATAAGAACTGAGGGGTATGAATGCAAATGTTTTATTTATTTATTTATTTATTTATTTATTTATATATATCCCCCCGGGCTCTCACTTATGGAAACAAAAATGTAGGAGTACGCATTCACCAGAAATATCCAACGAAAGGGACGTCGGGGGGGTAGGGGATGTCTAGGTTCTCTTAACACCCCCATTGTTTATATTTAGAAGCAATAAAAGCCAATGGAATATCACATTAAATAAATGACACATGTATGGAGCCCCACGACAAAACCCTTCGTCTTTTCCTTTTCCTTTTTTTTTTTTTATTTTTTATTTTTGCCCCCATTATTTTCAAAACTCACCTTTTCAACATGGGACTTTGTTATCTCCACCCTACCTTTTTTTTTTTTTTTTTTTTTTTTTTTTTTTTTTTTTTTAATTTGGAGGTTTTGCATATGTACCCCTCAATTTGTTTGTATTTACATATCAAATATGAGTAGCGGGGACTGAGGGTTCGTTTGGGACGGCGCGCCATTTTAGCACAATTTTACTTGCTTAGATGAACTGCATTTTGATATTTTTTTTTAAATTGCTGCTGAAATCTGTTTTTTTTTTCATCACTCATAGTTAGGTGCGTGGGCAGCTTTCTAGCGGCTCTCAAACTTTTAAAAAAATATTTATATAATTAACTTGAGGGTTCGTTTGGGACGGCGCGCCATTTTAGCACAGTTTTATTTGCTTAGATAAACTGCATTTTGATATATGCATTTTTTTTTAAATTAGTGTTGAAATCCATTTTTTTTTTCATCACTCCTAGCTAGGTGCGGGGCAGCTTTCTAGCTGCTCTCAAACCTTTTTTTTTAAAAAAAATTATAATCAGCTTTATAGTTTTTTTAGCATCAGATTATTATTCAGCAGCTTCACGACTGTTTTTGAATTAGTCGCAGCTGTCCCAAACATACCATAAGTTATATTTTGATAGAACATTGAAATTAGCTCGAAAATTGTTAATCTCTTAAAAAATGATTCAAATTTTAGCTCAGATTGAGATCTGGTTGAAATGAACGAGTGGAGCTATGAGCGGAAATGAACATTGAAATTAGCTCGAAAATTGTTAATCTCTTCAAAAATGATTCAAATTTTAGCTCAGACTGAGATGTGGTTGAAATGAACGAGTGGAGCTATGAGCGGAAATTTTGGATCAATTTTTTTTTAGCTAATTTTGACCGTGTTGAGAAATTAAGTCAAAGTAAACGTAATAATCAACACAATATGTAATTACAAAATTATCTATGTATCACACTATGAGGACGTTGACGATATATAACCATTGGCTCGCTTCGCTCTACTCCGCTAGCTTGTTTCGTTCTGCTCCAACATCTATCTCTTATCTGGTATATGTGTCATACCTAACAGATCTACACACGATCGACTTGAATTGGCTCGCAAGATGGAACGAATTCAAATACCTCAAATTTGAGCCCGCTCGTTCTGATTTCGAGCCGAGTTAGCTCGAAATAAAACATAACAAGCCGCGAGCTGAATTCAATTCAAACCCAATCCATTCAAGCCGAACTCAGCTCGACTCGAAACCAGCTCCTTAACAGCTCAATCTTCCGGGCGGGCAATTGCCTTCTATAAAATTTGAGATTTCTCTATATAAATAATAAAATTTAATATCGCTTAAAAAAATAATATTGGACCGGCTATACATTTCACCTTACTTATACAAGGAAAGACATATTTTACTTTTTAAAATTAAAATTATGATATTTTTTTGTGGATAATTATAAATTTATATTATTATTTAAATTAGATTAAAATAATTTAAATATTTTTAATATTATCCCATTCAGCTTTGGAACTATTCGAAAATTTAAACGTCTACTTATTTTAGAAGTAAAATCTTGATATTTTCACGTAATTAAAAAACACGAATGCACAAATCATTTAATTCAATTTAATTTTTTTTTTAATAATAGTTTGAAAAGGCCATTTGAGTTCCCTAAAAAAAGAATATATTTGAAATCCCTTTCGAGAGCAGTGCATTTAGAGCTACCGTACGGGCATTTTATTATTCCGATTATTTATTTATTTTTTTTTCATAAATTATAAAAATCAAACCTATTATTATAATCCAGTCTTGTAGGTGGGGGGAAGGCGGTAATTACGAGTCAGTGCGTGATTTGGTACAAATAGGGAGTGAGAATAGCATAACTCTTTCTTCATCATCTCGGAACCTTTTTATCTTCACATTCATTGTATTTTCTCCTCAGCTCCGTCTCGTACCCTCCGCTTCTTCTGCCTCCTCGGCTGTCGTTGCTCGCTGGATCGAAGCTCGAGAAGACCAGACTTTTCTACACTCTTCTTATCCGTTTCGACGCGGGAATGGAATGCGGTGGAAGGGCGGCTAACTGAGGATCAGTTTTCTCGGCTTGAAAGAGACGAGGGAAGAGCGATTGCGGCTGTTCTGCGGGGTCTGGATGTCTTGGTTGGATTCTTTTAGTTCTTTTGTTTTGGATTAGAATGAGATCGAGCAAGCGGTTTGAGGAGGTGGATGCACAGGTAATGATTTTTTGTCGGATCTTTAAGATGCGGCTGATCTGGATTTTGGTGGTTTGGTTGTGTTTGTGGTGATGGGTGGGGTGATTTTAGGGAGTGATTGGTGTCTTTTGGTTGTTGTGAGACCTGAGAACTGGGATTTTGGGCGTGAGTTGGGTATTTCATGCCGATCCTGATTGCTTGGATTGTGAATGTTGGATGTTCAATGCTTGGTTTAGCGGAAGTGTTTCTTCTAACTCGATTTGTTTGGTTTCAGCTTAATTTTGCGGGGAAGAAATGGTTTTAAGAGCGCGATCGTCGGATTTTGAAGCGGATAGTTGGTTTCCGGGTTGATGCTACTGATCAGTGTAACTTTGGAAGAGCGAGGGATTAGCTGTATGATTTTTTTTTAAAAATTTGTTTGTTGACTCATCTGCTGGTTTTTTTATCCTTGATATTGTTCGCTAAATATATTTTTGAAATGGATTTAGGGCTCACGAAGGGAATTCGAGGACTGAGAATTAGGTATATGGTAGTTTTTCGAGTGATTTTGGATATTTAGTGGGTTTTTGTATGTAAATGGATTGAATGAAGTTCCCTCCGATCAAATGTTGAGAGCATTGTGCCATGGCTTGCTGTTTATGTTACTTATGCTTTCTGCTTCCGCCATTGAGGTCGGATATCCCCGCTGCAATTGTGAAATTGACGGCGTCTTGAGTGCTGAAGGTATTCTTCAATGTCAGAAAGTGAGCGACTTCTTGATTGCGGCGGCGTACTTCTCCATACCTCTTGAGCTCTTATATTTCGCAACTTGCTCGGATCTATTCCCTTTTAAATGGATCGTCTTCCAGTTTGGAGCCTTCATTGTGCTATGCGGACTTACGCATTTGCTCAATGTGTTCACATACGAGCCTCACTCATTTCTCCTGATGCTGAGCCTCACCATATCCAAGCTCCTCACTGCACTTGTGTCCTTTGCTACAGCAATCACTCTCTTAACTTTGATCCCTCAGCTTCTGAGAGTGAAGGTGAGGGAAAATTTTCTGAGAATAAAAGCTCGGGAACTGGATAGGGAAGTTGGAATGATGAAGAGGCAAGAAGAAGCAAGTTGGCACGTCAGAATGCTGACTCATGAGATTCGGAAGTCCCTTGATCGGCATACTATCCTCTACACAACTTTGGTTGAGCTTTCAAAAACTTTGGGGCTTCAGAACTGTGCAGTATGGATGCCAGATGAAGGCAGGAAAGTTATGATTTTGACCCATGAGTTGAGACAAAGACGCACGATAGAATTGTACGAGCAATCTATCCCCATTGATGATCAAGATGTAGTAGAAGTTAATGAATCACAAGGTGTAAGAATACTCAGACCAGATTCTTTGCTTGCATTGGCAAGCAGTGGTGGAGATCCTGAATCAGGATCTATAGCTGCAATTAGGATGCCAATGTTGAATGTGTCCAGTTTTAAGGGCGGGACACCGGAGCTAGTCCAAGCTTCTTATGCTATATTAGTTCTAGTTCTACCTAGGGATAATTCTAGGGTTTGGAGCTGCCATGAGTTGGAGATTATTGAAGTAGTTGCCGATCAAGTTGCTGTTGCTCTATCTCACGCCGCTGTGCTGGAAGAATCACAGTTAATGATGGATAAACTCACTGAACAGAATAGAGCTTTGCTGCAAGAGAAGAAGAATGCCCTGATGGCAAGTGAAGCGAGAAATTCTTTCCAAAGAGTCATGAGTCAGGGAATGAGAAGGCCAATACACTCCATTTTAGGGTTGTTATCCATGATGCAACTGGAAAATTTGAGTTCCGAACAAAAACTTATCATCAACACAATCATGAAAACGAGCGGTGTTGTTTCAACATTGATAACCGATGCATTGGAAATATCGAATATCAACAGTGAGAGATTGACATTGGAGATGAAACCATTTCATCTCCATTCTATGATCAAGGAGGCTGCTAGTGTTGCGAGGTGCCTTTGTGATTGTAGAGGATTTGGATTTGGGGTTCAGGTTGATAATGGTGTGCCTGATAGTGCTTTTGGGGATGAAAAGAGAATTTTTCATGCCATACTCCATATTGTTGATAAATTGTTGAGTGGATATGATGAGGGATTTGTTAGTTTTCAAGTTCAATCCTGTAATGAGGCCCAAGATGGTCAAGATCAGGAATGGTTGACATGGAGATCAAACTTTCCTGGTTTTTCTGTGAAGTTTGAGATTGGGATTAGAAATCCTGACTGTAGTGAGCCAAGTTCTTCTGTTCCACAAGCTTGGAGACTCAATAGTGAGGGCTATGACATGGGCCTCAGTTTCACTATGTGCAAAAAACTTGTGCAGGTAAGCATGTTTAATTCCTAACATCTAAAGAATAAATATCAAAGTCAGTAAATTTAGCACATGGATGTGATATTTAATTTTCTTCTACCTTAGATTAAATTGTCTTATAATGTTGGTCTTTGATATTGCATTCATTGAAAATTTTAGTTCAAGCTATTTGGCATAGGAATGAATTATATTATGATATGTAAATTTATTTCTGTTAATTTTATCAAAACCAAGTTTAATGTGAAGCACAGCATAAGCAACTTTGAAAAATTTTAATAAATTTATAGGACTTGTCTTGATATATTGATTTATTGGTAGTATTTATTATAAATGTTTTGGTTTTACCCTCATGTCCTTGGAAAGCCTCTTGTTGTGTGTTGTTAATGTCTTTCCATGTTGATGGAGTGTGCCACATATTCTAAACTTCAACTTTCAAGCAACACCTCAAGGACGCCCTTGGGACAAGCCTCTAATTCTAAAGTGAATGTCGTGCTATAGAGAATTCTGGTTTTTATGATCAATGGAGGGTATTATGCGTACCCATTTAGCTTTGATACAATGATAGGCAAGACACTTCCTCTTTTGGCTATAACCTCTTTAAAGCTCGAGTATGCAATAAATGGGATTTGCATGAATAATTAAATAAGTAAAAACATTTTAATCTTGACACCTCTATTTAATGGTTCTAATTAAGGTCAATGATTGATGCGTCTCTCAATCAATAAGGTAAGGACATGTCATATGCAATGTTGTGAAAACCGGATCGCGCATCAAACTAGAAGAAAGAGTTGGTCAATGTTCATTTGTTTGATCGTGGTTGAATCATATAACATAATAAATATAAAAATTAATTATGTCCTAAATGATATAATAATGATGCAATAATACAAATATAAAAAATATAAATAAACAAATGCTATATTCTATTTTTGAAATTTTAAATAACTTCAAAAGATGAAGAAACGATCTCTATCTTGAATATACTGATGAAAAAAAATCAAACATTAATTTGGACAAATAATGAACATTTTTACTTGTACAATAAGGATAACTCAAAGCCTCAAGTAAGCCTCCAATTGGAAATCATAAAATAACTTGTCTATCATGTTTGTAAAAAAATGACTTTGTGTGATTAGGTATTTAGTTAGGTGCATTAATAAAAAACACCAACATAAAACTAAGCTTATATTAATGGCACTATTAAAGTGGATTTCTAAAACATCTATGGATTAAACCTAATTGTTGAATTGATTTGAACTTAATGAGTTTCTTTATCTATTTTGTGCTTGAGATTGTTTGACCAGGTAGTCAGAGCAAGCGATATAAGGCCTTTAGTCTAATAAATCAATCACATTATAGGCATGAAATTAACATTCATAATCAGACAATAAAGGAGCATTTTTGCAATTAATAATTTTAATTAATTTAATATATATTTTGTGAGTTATGCAATGCTATTCAAATTAAATAGATATTAAATTACAATGCCTAACATAATGTGCTCGTAATTTTCAATTAGAATACACCTGCTTAGTGGTGTCCTAAGATTCAAGCTTGGCTTGAGTTGAGCCTTAGTTTTAACAACAAGCCAGGAAAGAGGTGCCAAACTATGTTGCCTATATTCTCTTGGGAGAACTGCATTCATAAACTTAACCCTAGACATAACAAGCCTATTTATGCCCAGTGATAATAATTATAAAAGACTAAGACGTTCTTAGGCGTACAAAAGACAAATTTTACCTTAGGCTAGGCGTTAACCTAACAATAACCCCCCAACCCCGCCTCCCTTACACCTTGAGAACAATGTGGGAAAAATGAGTGTTCTTTCTCCTCTCCCACCGCTGTCTACATTCCTTCATTCGCTGCCTCCTCGTCATGCACTATGAGAACTTGTAATTTTTTATCCTTGTAACGGTGTTTTGGGGTAAACTTTTCATCACACCGGAAATATAACCCTATGGCTCGCTTCTCCTATATCTATGTCTCTGTTAGGCGCTTTTGTGTTGCTCCCAGTCATGATATATTATTTGTGTCATATGCAGCCTCTTTCTAGACTTTAATTATTTGATCTTTTGGTATCTTTTTGATTGTAGCAGTTCGGTACAACGTTCCATCCGTGCCGCTTGTGCTGGCTCTCTTCATCTGATTCTTGTACCCTACCATCTGTGCTAGCTTCATCGTCTTCTTCAATCCCCACTGTCTTAATAGTTGAAGTGTTGCTCGTATGTTGGGCTTTAGGCCCTCAATAACAATTTTCTCCAATTTTGCTTTAGAAATCCCTCTCAGCCGTCTTGACAATAGCTCAAACCTATCCCCGTACTCCATGATAGTCCCCTCCTGTATCAAGACATAAAATTGTTCGTGTATGTCTCCTTCCTGAATTGCTCGGAAACTTTCCAACTAATAATCCTTGAATTCCTCTCACGAATAGATCGAGTATCTAGCCTCCCTACACTAAAACGAGGCTAGTGCTTTTTCTTCCAAACATAACCTTGCAATCATGAGTTTCTCCTCCACATCTAGCCCATTTACCGCGAAGTATCGCACTGCCCGATACACCCACCCATGTGCATCTCTCCCTTTCTGAAGATCGACATCTTTAACTTCCTAACTCTAACATCTCCATCGCAACTTAACCCCCCCTCTCTCCCCTGTATTGAAGGTAAAATTCCCTCATTCGATCTTAACCATATCCCCTCCCTACTTCTCTCATTTCTTCTTCATGCTCCTTCATAACTCTTGCATAATATTCTGTCCAAGTTTCGACTCGTACCTCTTGCATAATCTCTTCTCCAATTTTCGCCTCATCCGCCTCCATCACCACCAATCGGAGTCCCGAGAGAGGGTTCGTGATAGTGGATGTTTTACTTCTCGTGCTCCTCACGTTAGATCTCTTTTCCTTTCGATTTAGCCAATGAATCTCCGTTTAATCCTTGGATAGGGTTTGCAAATTTAACCACGTCGAGATTTTGGATTTCATCTCAATGAGTTTCTTTATCATCTCTCGAATTTCCCCCATGCTCTTGAATTGTTCTTCCATTTGGTTCTCCATAGAAATAACCTATCCTCTATTGTGGCGAACTTCTCTTCCATCGCAGATCTAATTTGACTGATCTCTTCCTCCAACTTTTTCTCTAAACCATCAACTTTTTTTTTTTTGCTTCCATAACTTTTTTTTCTACAAAGCACAAAAACACTTGCACACTGAAATTCCGTCAATTGATTTGCGGGTTTGTATCCAAGTACATATGACTATCATCGATCTGGATAGCGTCGGTACAAGCTGAAATACAATATCTTCGTACGTGAAATAATCTATGTAAGTTGAACTTAGTCGTAGAAATCCGATCCGTTGAAATCAACCACAGATCTACGCAAGCCCAATACAATGGCTTGAATCGCGTCACTGTTGCCGCGATCCTGTCGTAAGGCTTGGACAACGCGAAAGTTGTAGAAAAATAGAGTTTTGGGTCTCTGCACGTTGCTTCGCCCCGTCACTGCCTTTGCATCTAGCTCTGATCGCGATTGGATCGCCAGATAGTGCAAGAGGAAGAGAAAAATGGGAGTTTTGGATCTCTGTACGTCGCTTCACCGCCACTGCCTCCCTAGCTAGCACTGATCGCTGTTGGATCGCGCAGACGGCGCAGGAGGAAGAGAAGAATGAGATTTTCAGGTCTCTCCATGTTGCAATCCTCGTCTTTCAGAATTTAGGGCTTTCCTGTAAACCACGATGCTCATCGTGGCTTCCCCTGTACTTCGAGATCAGGTCGTGGATCGACACTTCGGCTTTCGACACTCTATTTTTTTCTTTGATTTCTACAACAGACTGTTCTGATACCAATTTGAAATGATCTGAATCAAAATCGACACGTTCCTCCACATAATATAGGGCAAACACTATTTCTTCAATAAATCAAACAACTCAACAAGAATACAAAGATAAACACTTCAATTCAAGAGGTAGACGATCTCTCCCAATTCATACAATTCGAGAGATACGAAATCTCTCCCAAACCCTAGACCTAAGACTTACAATTCAATCTCATGTATAAACCAAACCCTAAACATAAGAAGCTTATTTATACCCAACAATAATAATAATAAAAGATTAAGTTGCCCTTAGGCGCACAAAAGACAAAATTGTCTTTAGGTGTACAAAAGACAAAATTGCCCTGAGGCTAGGCGCCAACATAACAACTTGCTCTTTGATTTGGGTTGATGAAGATTTATTTTTGTTAGGTACCTGTTAAAGGCGTTAGTAAAGTAAGTGGGACTAACTTCAATTGCAAAATAATTAGCCTTGGAATGAATATGATTGATGTCAAACACATAGAAATACATCAATATTTATGTGGTTTGGTGAGATTCACATATATTCATGGCCGCAAAAGTGTCAGATATTCTGCTAAGAATCAGAAGAGGTACATTGAGAGATTATACTTTATAGTTTATACTAAAAAATATCACTTTGTTAGTATTTGGAGGCAAGGAAGAAGCAAATCATCTGTTGTCCTAGTTTTTTCTCAAATATGAATGCTTAACATCTTAATTATTTTACAAAGGAGAAATAATTATTAATATAATCACTATTATTGTTCTATCTACCAAAAGGGTATATAGATGTATGGATGCATTTATGTAAATGACCCTATACACAGGAAAACTCCATAGTGATTGTCTCCACATTCTAACCATCATGCTAATACGACTTGATATCAAGGTAAATTGTGTTGAAAACCACCTAAACTTGTCCCTTATTTTGGGGAAGATTTCTCCAAATCTGGAAACTAACTCTCTTTGCTTTACCAAATTGATATGCTTTGCCAAAGTTGTTCAATCGAACACTTCATCATTCAATTTTGTACCTTACAACACATAGTTTACTAATTCTCTTTGCTTTACCAAACTGATATGCTTTGCCAAAGTTGTTATATCGAACGCTTCATCATTCAATTTTGTACTTTACAATACATAGTTTACTAACTCTATTGTCGTTAATATGACTAAAGCAA